CGACGGAAGTCTCGGATTTATAGCTACTCATGTATGCCGATACATAGGAGAAAAGAATATGTGCATCCAAGAGGGAAGTACCGGCTTTGCAAGCGTTAATGGGGAGAATTTGAGATTGAGATAGGACATAACAATAGTAAAAGCACTGCACCGTGGAAATAGGAATATGGAGAGCCTGATAATCGCATATTAAGGCTGAGCGAAGGGAATCAGAGAGGGGTAGAAGGGAGCTGGAGTGCGGTCAATATATATTAGGCTGATGTGTTGGCTGCGAGGGAGAGATCATCGCCTGCACAGTCCATGTTGATTCCGAGACCGGAATGGTCGGAGGAGTGTGCTGCGCCTGACCAGCACAGCTCTTGTAGCACCTACTACTCCTTTGTTGTCTTTGTATTTTGTCTTTACCCCTATTACTTTGTAGGGATGTGTACATAGTATACAAATCAGAACCTGTCTGTCGTCCACTCCAACTTGCTGCGCCGCAAGTGGTCGTTGACATTTTTCTTGAAGGTGTGCATACCACTGCGAGAAGGGGGATACTGCAGAAGGGTAGGTGGAAGCTGATTCAACGTTGCGATGAGGGAGTGGGGAAATGAGCGGTGTGTGTTGTTTCGTGACTGAGGAGGAAGGATACTGGTGAGTTGTGATGGATGATGTGTTGCAGATCTGGTTGTCTCACGAGTAGACATGCGGCATTGCGGTGCGGCTGCTGATTCACTCGCATCTTCTGCTACATGTACTGTAAGCGTATCGGTGTGGGAAAGAACTTTGAAGAAGACGAGTTCGAGCATACAGCAATGTCTTGCAATGCTGCCAAATAATTTTGGCTCAAAATCTGACACAATCATACCACAAATGTTCAGAGCACCCAAACTATCGCCCAAAATACGAAGAAAACTCGCTTAGTTGCAATGGTAAGCAACCGTGATGGCGCCCAGAGGTTCACACTGTACATTGCATTCTGTACATGTACATGCCATCCAGGAGTGTTGCTTTGCACTTCCCCAGCCCAGCACTAGCCTTTTTAGAAGCACATGCGCAGTGATTTGTGTGTTCAGTTGCGTTCAAAGGTGAAAATACAGAACTTCTCCATAGGGAAGTACTGTCCCTGACATTTTGGCTGCTTTTCGGACATACATGTATCCTTTTTCGGACCGGTTTTCGGAAGAGCCTTCAAAAATCGGACGGTTTGGCAGCACTGGTATTGCCATGATTTCTACCCTGCTTTTCACTGAAACACACTGTCTGTATGACCTCCGAATAGGCTCCGGCGGATTATGCTCGTGAAATCATGGAATTATGCTTTCATGGATTCTTGCATTATGCTCGCAAAATCCTCATATTATGCTTTGGCACGCGGGGATACATATTCACTTTGTTGTACTTATGGAGCCTTAAAGTTCGGAAGTGCCTTTTTCGTACTTGCAAGTGGCCGGCCATAAGTACAACAAAATGTTACGCGAGTATCCCTATACCAAGGTGTCCATGCATGCTACAGATCAACATTGAAAAGGGAAAAATTACTTCTTCTATTCATAAGTTGACTTCTTTTGTACTTCCGTAAAACGATTTTTTCATTGCCAAAATTAGTTTGAGTTACCTTTGAAAATTATCGCGCTCAACTGTTTTCGTTATCGTCATACTCGTCCCACCGATGTCACCCTCACCCTGCAAAAATCAGCTCATCTCTCCCGTAGGTCTACCTCTCCTTCGATCATGACCGAACATCAACTTCACCTCAATTTTTTTTAATTATTTAAAAGAGCAAAATCCAAAGCCTGCACAGCCATGGCTGCTAAAATCCAGAGGTCATGACTTCGTAATATGCATAATGTACATGTACGCGGAGTTTTGCGGACTACCTGTCACCATCTCGTTCGCCCCAGAATACCTTATACACAGCGTCTTCTGCTGCATGTACTGTATCAGTGTGAGAAAGAACTTTGAAGAAGACGAGTTTGAGCATACAATAATGTATTGCCATGATTTCTACCCTGCATTTTTTTGGAAAACACTATCTGCATGACCTCCTAAGTCCAAAGCCTTTACCATGCAGACCACCAACACTGATCAGGTGCACTGTACACAATTGTGTAGCCTACATACAATGTACTAGAACTGTGCTACAATCTTGTAGTTATCTGTCCCTCCAGGATTCCACGGATGATACAAATTTCACGATTTTGGCCCAAAACCGCAATTTTCTGAACAATCCGCGATTTCCCCCATTATTAATTTGTTGTTTTCTGCCCTTCTTTTTACATGTGTATGCACTTTTCATGCAGTATACAGTGCTTTGCATGATCCTGTACGTACATGTAGGTTATTTTTATTTATTTATTTATTTTATTTATTTATTGCAGCATCTCATAGCACAGTGAGAACACCGGCCAATACAAAGAGAGAGGGTGTTAGCCAACCACGGCAAGGAAGGGAGAAGGGGAGGAGAAGAAAAAAGGAACCGGCATGGATAAGTAGTGATTGCAACAAAATGAGAAACACAAAATCAAAGTCAAGGCGCGACAAGGCTCTTAAAAAGGCGGAGGGAAGAAAGGTCCTTAGCTTCTTGGGGAAGCGCCAGCCACGCAGAGTACGCAGTGAAAAGGGGAGAGTGAAGTAGAAAGGAGGACTTGGGTTTCGGAAGGGAAAGGGAGTTTCTCGTGCTACGGGAAGAAAACCAGTTGAAATAGTGGAGGTGAGGTGGACACAGATTGAGTTTGAGAGAATGGATAAGGGTGACAAGATGTGAATTACGTCTCTTAGACAAAGGGGTAGTGTGAGCAAGGGCATAACGGGTGGAAGATGGGAGCATGCGGGGTTTCCGGAGGAGGATTTTTAGAACTTTTTTGTGCTGAATTTCGAGCTTTTCAGCACGGGTTGTGGAAATTCCAGCCCAAGCAGTATCTGCATAATCAAAAATGGGGCGTATGTAAGCTGAGTAAAAGAGGAGTTTACAAGAGATTGGGAGATGGTAACAGTGAGAAGAGAGGATTCCTAAAGATGAACTTGATCGTTTATATATGTAATCGATGTGGGGTTCCCATGAAAGATTAGAGTCAATGAAAATGCCAAGATGCTTATGGCTGGAGACTATGTCTATAGGCTGGGGGAAAGTGGGATGGAGGAGGGGCGGAACATCAGGCTGAGAAGGAAAGAGCATGATTTTAGTTTTAGACAGATTGGGCGATAACCGCCAAGACGACATCCAGGAAATTACTCTTTGAATCCTGTTAGCTAGGTTACTCATCAGGCCAGTGATGTTAGGAGATGCCCGTAGGAGCGTTGTGTCGTCTGCGAATAGTGATGTGCCCGGGGCAGCTGCGGGCAGATCATTGACGTATAAGATAAAAAGAAGGGGGCCGAGGATGGAACCCTGGGGAACTCCGGATAGAACTGTTGTGTCGGCTGAGGACGTCCCATGTACCGTGACGTACTGCGTTCGCCCAGTTAGGTAAGATGTCAGCCATAGCAGGGGATTGCCATCTACAGTAAACGATCCACGAAGCTTGGCCAAGAGCCCCCGGTGCCAGACGGTATCGAAGGCCTTGGCAAGATCGAAAAAAACAGATCCCGACTAGGTCTCCAGCATCCCGATGTCGACACACTAATTGCACCAGGCGCGTCAGCTGGAGGGTGGTAGAATCGCCTCTGCGAAATCCGGACTGAGCTGAACTCAAACGTGACGAGACATGACAGTACAATTGGTCGTAGAAAACGCGCTCACAGAGTTTGGAAACACAGGACAGTAGAGATATCGGACGGTAGTTTGATGCTTCGTGGCGGGACCCTTTCTTGTAGATCGGTATAACATTAGCTGTTTTCCATGCAGAGGGAAAACGACCAGTGCGGAATGATAGGTTGAAAATCAGACATAAGGGGTATGCTATTGAGGGCGCAAGGGACTTTAATACCAGATTAGTGATGCCGTCTGGGCCTGGCGCCTTGTCAGACGGGAGCTTTCGAATGTAACGTCGGATGGCAGCAGTCGTAGTAAAGACAGATGTGAGGCGGTCAGCCTCACCCGACTCCTCGGCAATGGGGGGAATGGGTAGAGAAGGGTCATCAGGCACGGCCACTGAGGCGAACTGAGAGTTCAATGCAGTGGCTTTAGCTGAAGAGGTAGTAGCCTGCTGTGTAGAACTAATGGTGAGTGTCGGGATGTCACGAGATACTTTATGATTTTTTAATTTGCTCACGAACTGAAACAGTGATGGGCGGTTTTTGTCCTGCAGCGTAGCTTGTACGGACCGAATGTATCCCCGGTATTTCGATCGAGTCAGACTCTTCACCAAGTTCCGTTGAGATCGATATACATGCATGTTAAGCTGGGTTGGGTATTTCTTACACACACTGTAGTAATCGTGCTTTGCCTTAATGGCGACACGGAGGGGGGCATCAACCCAAGGTGGCTGACCTAAACGTCGGCATGAGGGGGAGAGTGGACGCCGGGAGAAGTACCCGAGGTGCTTCTCCATGGCCCTGCTAAGAATAGAGTGGAAAGACGAAAGAGCGTCATCCACGTGCGAGCTGCGGAGGTGACATTTCCAGTGGACATCAGCAAGTTCAGCATTCAGGTCATCCCATACGCAACGTGGCACCAACTTGAAATTATAACCTGGGGGTGTAGGGGTAGATGTTGGGAGGAAGTGATGTTGTAGGGTTGGATTTTTGGACGTGACAGGGAGACGGACTCGACAGATGAGGTGCACGTGGTCAGAGCTACCCAGTGGAGCGGCTGAATCAACGGAGAGGAACTGCTGGGGTGAATTTGTGACGATGAGGTCCAAGCAAGATGACCGGCCACTTGGGCTCCAGTGCGTAGGGAAGTTGACCAGTTGCTCTAATCCGAAGCACCTGAAGGCGGTTTCAAGGCACTGACCCACCGGGGTTGTCCGATCACCAGCCAACCAGCTCGAGTTATGGGCATTGAAGTCACCGGTGAGGAGTAGTGTGGATACAGGTAGATCAAGCGACAGAAGGCAGTCTTCCAGACCATCAGATTATGCCTGAATATCCGCCAGGGTACCACCAGGAGGTCGGTAGGTGGCGCAGACTACGAGTGGACGTTGGGGTGAGTTGGCTGTGCGAAGCTCAAGCCAGATGGCCTCCAAGCCCGGTTGCTGAAGATTCGCCAGAGGCTTCACCGATGTAAAGGAGCCATCTTTCACCAATATGGCTACCCCACCATAACCTCTGGTAGGATTGGCCGATCGAATATTAGAGGTGGGACGATCCCGTCGATGAACTGTGTAGCCTGCTAATGAGAAGAGGTTGGCAGGGGACAACCATGTTTCACACAAACATATAACCTCCGGAGAGTAGATGTTGCACATAACAGTGAGTTCCGCTACTTTGTTGACATTTGCACAATATGCAAATAACTTCTCGCTCCACATATACTGGCACACACAGAGACATAAACAGCAATAGCGACAACACACAAAGTGAAGGGTAGTTGGCCGCAGCCAGATGTGAACCGGATAACGAGTGAGGTATGGAAGCAAGACTGTTAGTACAGAGTGTCTCAGACAGAATAGGCGTGCCAGTGGATAGCAGAAAATTAATAGGCTATGATGAAGAACCACTTGGGACCGTCAGATTAATTTTCCTGGACCAAGCCAGCCGGGAAAAAACCCTCGCGCCGATGGACGCAGTTGTGAGAGAAAAAACCGGGTGTATATCCCCTCTGGCGATTAGACATCATGTAGGCATGGCAAGCACATCACGGCAAAAAGTCAGAAAAAAGCAATGATAATATGCACAGAAATGAAGGGTGGGAGGGCAGAGACACTGGTGAGGCTCAAAACTGACTGAAGAAGTCAGCAAAAGAAGCGACAATAAAGAACACACCAGATGCCATATTTGCAACTGAAAATGTTTCGCGAGAAATACAATGATTCTAAGGATGCAACAAATTTCGTGATTTGGCCCAAATCCGCAATTTTCTGCCAATAATTCCGCGAATTCCTGGCAAGTTCTGCATCTTTTACGCACTTATCGCCGCATTTTTGAGTTATGCTCCTACCTCAGAAAGGATTCCAAATTATGCTCCAAAATTTCAACCATCACCAAATTATGCCAATAAGGCGAGACAAAAAAAAATTAATAGAGATTCCCGGGCCCTCCCGCACCAAAATCGAGCCAAAGCCAATTTTTTTGAGCAGTTCATACATGTACATGTATAGTACTGATCGTGTGAGTAGATCTGTGACGAGGAGTCACACAAACCCGAGCTTATACCACTCCCAGATGTACAGATCAGAGCCATCGTTGGCCGAAATATAGAAAAATTGAACGGGTAAACCGCGTACCTGTTGTCTGTAAAGTAAAACGTTTTTACGTCCGCCGGCTATACAATTGCGTTGTCTGTAAAAAAAATTGAATAAAATACCGGAAAATGCTGTAAAAAAAGTTCTACATGGCATGCGCACGTACGTACATGGGAAAAAAATAAAAAATAAAATTCGCCCGCCCGCACCAATTTCACATGGATCCTGCCCGGGAATCTCGATTTTATTTTGATCTCGCCTAAATATGCTGGCACAATCTGCCGGTGCCTACCTCGAACTCTTTCCCATGCTGACCACCAGCACTGATCACGTGCAGTGTAGATCTACATGTCATCCATATTAGAAGTCTAGAACTGTAGCACAATCAAAGGCCATTCATTGTATGTTGCTTTAGAAAGTCTGGATTGAAAGTGCACATCTGCGAGAAATGCTATGTGGGGCAGAATCAAACTGAGATGAACAGTCCGCTAATCAACGGATTCTACCAGCGCACCTTCATTCCAAATGTGCTCTGCTCTGCCAACTCTTCACGTCCTGGTCATCCCTTGTTCGCAGGAGACGATATTGTAGTACCCGAGTACCCATGTGAAGTCACCGCTGGTCACCACTGGTGAACCAGGGCAAACTGGAAATCTAGACAGGCCGAGCAGGAGTGTAATGAAGGCAGCGCATGACCGCACTGAGGATTCATAGACATTCAGTCTTGTTGAGAGACGGGGCGGGGATGGGCCGGTGTAGGTGCTACAGCTATAAGCACAACGTACATGACTTGTACTTGTAGTAGTGATTGATGTTGAGCATGGCCGCCGCCGTGTTCTACAATCACTATAACTATGAGTCTGACAATAGATGATATTGTGAGATAAGGCATTGGGAAAATCATGGTCATGGCTTCGAAATATATGCCTCCAGATCAAGCAGTTGCGCAAGGGATCAGCAATCAAAATGCTTTGTACAGGGGAGAGAGTATGAAGTGCACAAAGTGCAAGCAAAATGTCTTCGACAAAATCATAAAACACTCAAATCTGCGCACAACTATGCTGAAGCAAACAGGCACAGAAGCAGCTGAAGGCCATACCCCGACACTCTCTAGTGCATATATCATTCAACATACAAAAACAAGTAGCATACAGCATGGTTATACGGAAGGAGATACCAGCATTCCATCAACATTGCTGGCTACCATGCTGAGAGTGAAATACATGTACATGCAGCGGTACATGTGAAGGTGGAAAGAAGGCACTGGACTATCAGAGTGATGTTGCGGCCCATAACCTACATGTACATATGCACTGGTAATACCAATACACTGTAGTACAGGCATGTACAGACCAGTACTGTATCCTAGCACTAGCATACTGTATGAATTATTGATGACGTCATTCAGACCTGCTTGGCCGACTAGAGCAGAGATAAATAATTAATTACCACTGGCAAAAGACACACCAAGAGGTTATTAACTAGAGAGACAAGGCAAAAACCTGATCCCTGTCAGGTGACCCATCTCTGCAGCAAAGCACAGCTTACCGCTGGGTACAGCAATGGTCTCACTCTGGCCAGATCTCTGGTGTGTCCCTGTCAGTGTGTGCTGATCACAATCCAATCGCAGTGCTATGATGTCGCCATCTTGCCATCCCTGACCAAGACTTGTGTTGTTGCCCACACTGTACTCTTGCAATCGCCTGTCGCAATACCAACCCAAGAATGGCCTCTCTCCTGTACATGGCGCATGTGTTGTACAACGTTCTTTAACGACCCCAAGGAAGACCCCATTTCCAAGGCAACTGATCTGGGCTGAGCACTCCACCACACCATGGCAATAACTGCCCAATGTGGAGATTGTGTCAAAAGTGGAAGCATCTGTATGTGATACTTCATATCCATCACCCGATAGAGAAAACGTAGTAGGTTCGCAGCTAAATGGATCGAACACTGGCTGCACGCGTACAGTGTTCTTCTTCACTGACTCTGTGCGGAAGGCGGAGTCGACAAAACGTCCAAGCTGTGATGTACGCTTCTTCTCCTGATCATCCGTTGCAAATGCACGGTAGGATACAGTGAAATCAACATCCACTCGATGATCATCACTGATATCAGCTTCCTCGTTGCTGGTGACAACATCCTTGATCTGTGTCTGCAGGATCTTCTCTGCAGTCAAGAGATTACTGTTGCCGAGATTCTGCACGAGATGCTCACAGCAATCCAGTTGAAAGGTTTTCTTTTCCACTATGCCGGACTGCTTCTCCAGGTCTTGCAGTGCATTCCAGCGCCGAGCGTCCAGCTCATTCAGAAGATCTTCTTGTCTGCGCTGCAGGTTTTTGATGTGCATATTGAAATCAGCTACAATTTTCTCTGACAATGCCTCCACTTTCTCATTGATTTCTGCGGTGCGTGTTGCAATGTGCACATTCATGTCACTGAGGTGTTCTCTCCACGAGTCGCTAGAATCACTTAGCAGCGACTTCCACTGAGATCGTTTTCTTTCAGCTGCTGTGGGAATCTCTTCAATACTTGGTGAACAGCTAGCATGACGCTGCTCGGAGCACCTCTGACATATCAACTGTTCACATTTCTTGCAGTAGGATTTCGCTAGAAAATGTGGGTGCAGGCTACAATGGAGGAATTCTGAATCGGGTACTGTGTCGCCCTCTGCTGCCGTTCTCATCGTGTGCACTGACTGGAGATGGTGTCCATAGCAGCTTCTCTTCATCAAATGTACTTTCTCATGTCCCTCACACATGTATAATCCACAGTCGACACATAGCGAGGTAGCCGGGGAAGATTCTCCCTGGCATTCTAGGCTTTGACATACGAGCTGTTTCTCTGAATGATATGATTGAAGCTCGCTACTTGCCTTGCCTCTCACCTCTACCTTTTGAACTGGCCAGTCGGCTAGGGATTCCTCCAGTCTTACTCCTGGCATACCTGATGCTGCCACAGTCAGGCATTTGAAGCACGACACCGTTCCGTCATTGCTCAAATGTTGTCGGAGACACGTGACGCACATGGCGTGCAAGCAATTCAATACCTTCATCTTGAGAGAGTCTGCGTCGCTGTGGCACGCCACGCAGCAGCGAAGATTGCTCACATCTTTGCCGATGGCATTGTGAACTTCAAGATCGTTAGCCATTTCAAAGATGCAGGGTTGTAAAATGGTAGAAAAACATTTTCTTTGTCCTCACACAGTACTGTGTACTGAGCAGCACTGAGCAATGAACTGGTGACGAAAAACAGTTCATTAGGCCACCCAGAATAAATCGTTGTTTCGGGTCACCCGACCGACCGTCTTTTTTACCCGACCGCAAAATGTTTTTTCTATAGTGCATGCAAATGTGCATGACTAGACTTTTTTTATTTTATTTTTACTAGAGCCACGTAATCCCGTCATGTGTGAGCCATGAATAAGGGGAGTGGTGGCGTGGTCTGGGACTATGTTACTATGTACTAACAATTACATGTAGGTCTACACACGCGCCTAATAGTAATAGCTAGCAGTCCAGACATCGACTTCAGAAGCAGCCAAATAGAATAACAGGATGAAGCGCTTGGTGACGATGTTGTCTTCCGATCCGCAATCGGTCCTGAAACAGCATCAGCTCCGCCACCGCGTCGCTCTTTGACAGACGTTTTCAAGGTGAGAGCTGCTCCTCAGACTCGTTTGCCAGCGAGGCCAAGGTCTGGTCCTGGAGGGGACCTGGGTCTGATGGGACAATGACTGTGCTGGATCGTCTACAGTCATGATTTGATCGACTGGCTTGATGGACAAAAGCTATTCGAATTCGATATGCACAATTGTATATGTATGCACATACACTTGAGAGGGACGAAAAGCGTTTCTTCTGTAACTCTGAGTTTCACGGTTTTAACCGATCATCAGACAGCAACTTAACTACAATTTTCAGAAGCTAAGATTGATATAGGCTGCAAGCTTGGATCATAGCGCGAATGGATGATCCGGGCTGATAGTGTAATTATAAAAATGATTGCGTGAGTTGGTTGATGGGGTGAAAAAATAGGCGGAAAAAAGAATACACTTTAGGCCTAGGCTCATGCAACCACATGTTCTTCTGAGGGAGGCAAGAAGAAGAACAATGGGGTAATTATGAGCAGCACTTCACCTGCGAGTAGTGAGAAGGTTATGTGACGGCTGATGGTGAGAATTTTGAGAGGTAGTACTTATTTTCATGCCTGCACTTGCTCACTAGCTCCGATCTTTTGTTGATGTTGACACGCTTGTCCGCCTGAAGGATCTCCAGTTTCTCTCTTAGGCACAGAGGACAGCGCTTGGTTATGTTACTGTAACCTGGAGGCTGGGCGATAACTGACCAACCAAGACTGTACTCGTTGTTTTGACGCTTCAGGTTCCAGACACACTTTGATAGTTCTGTGCTCTTCTCATGTCTCTCATGCCTGAATGATGTTAGATGGTTGCCGTATCTCTTCTTGAATTCTGGCTCCGTAAGACCGATATTCCGGTTGAAGATCTTGTGTAGTCTGGATCCAGTTGTATGCCGAATATATCTGCAATGGTCAAGTCACACAACAACTCAGTTAAACGGAAGAGTGGAAACAACGATGGGCAGCCCAAGGAAAGACGATGCAACTGCAGAGACAAAGCGCAGTGTCCGATGGACGGCAACTGCCAAATCAGCTCTATTGTGTACAAGGCAACCGTCCAAATAACCGGAGAGGACAGACAGAAGGAGTATATCGGTCTTATGGAGCCAGAATTCAAGAAGAGATACGGCAACCATCTAACATCATTCAGGCATGAGAGACATGAGAAGAGCACAGAACTATCAAAGTGTGTCTGGAACCTGAAGCGTCAAAACAACGAGTACAGTCTTGGTTGGTCAGTTATCGCCCAGCCTCCAGGTTACAGTAACATAACCAAGCGCTGTCCTCTGTGCCTAAGAGAGAAACTGGAGATCCTTCAGGCGGACAAGCGTGTCAACATCAACAAAAGATCGGAGCTAGTGAGCAAGTGCAGGCATGAAAATAAGACATTAGTACTACAGTTGAACATCGATTATCCGCACATCGACTATCCGACCATTCGATTATCCGTAACAGTTTTTTTGGGCGCACGTGCCGACGGTGCCGTAGAGTACGCACTGTGCATGTAGTGGGCCATTCCAAAAATACGAAAATTTTGAAAAGTAGCACTCTATTCTATTTACAATTATGTACATGTACATGTATTTACAGTGTGTTTTCTTATCCGGAACATTTGCCTTATCTGAACACCGCCTGGCAGTTGTCTGCCCAAAGGTGGTCGGATAATCGATGTTCAACTGTACCTCTCAAAATTCCCACCATCACGGCATCAGCCGTCACATAACCTTCTATTCTCACTACTCGCAGTCGCAGGTGAAGTGCTGCTCATAGTTACCCCATTGTTCTTCTTCTTGCCTCCCTCAGAAGAACATGTGTGTTGTGTATCGGTAGGAAGACTTTTCATGGCTCATTTTGTTGTGGTCCTTTCGTTTATTTTGGTTTGTTTTGCGTTCTGCTTTGACTGGTTTTGGTTGCATGTTTAGTTTGTACATGATCCAAATAACGGTTACGTCATTGTCATACGTTGTGTTTTGTTGCGCGCATGCTCGTATGCTGCCATAAATGTTAGTCTTTTTCTTCAGTTTTCAGTTTTACCTCGTCGTGTCCGGTCTTCTTGTCTGTCCGTCTCCGTCTTGTCAAGAAATTATGTAGAACTCTTAGTTCAGTTTCGTTGTTGTGTGTGGCGGGTCGGATGGGCAGGGAGGCTGGGCCCCTGACGCCTGGACAACATGTGCGCGTGCACAAAATTGGCGACCACGCCAGGATAGTCAGGGAGACGAGGAACTGGCAGGAACTCCGGTGCGAAGGAAAACGCATCGAGAACAAATCACCGAAACGACGTCGTCTGAGCTGAAGGCGCTGAGCGAGGAAACGTCTGCGAGGAGTGGGCCGAGTGGCTGGCTCGTCGGAGCTGAATGCGCTGAGGGCAGATGAAATGGATTGTGTGAGCTTGTTGTCGGTTGGATCAAATTATGGCGATCACGCCAGGATAGATACGCTGTTTGGATCCAGTCGCGCTGACAGGAAGTGGCCACGATGCTCGAGGAGAGAACCAGTGAGAGCGCAGGATACTCGGCAGAGTCCGCGGGGGGACTGCTGTTGGAGGAGCGGTTGCTGCGAGTTGGTAAGGCCCTGGGTTTCGAGGGGAGCCGACTCGCGCAGTACGTGGAGAGAAAGGTGACGGAGGTCAACGCTCGAAGGGAGCAGGTCATCCAATGGGAGGAGGCGCGTGCTCAACGGGGCATGCGTTCCGAGTGGCCGAAGCGGAGTTGCGAGGGGAGCGCTCTGCGGCGGAGACTGCGTCTACTTGTGGACTAGTGGACAGCAGTGCTGTGGGGGTAATGACAGTCCCAAGTACAAGTACCAGGATTACGTTTCCAATGTACAAGGAAACAACGGTTGTGTTTGACCAAGAGGCGCGTGGACGACGAGCGTCAGTGGAGAATCGGTCCGTCGCTCCAACAACCCAGCACAGTGGACAGTGCGTTGGAGTGTCAGCCATGGATACGGCTGAGGTGGAGACAGAAATAAAGGTCGTCAATGGCAACAGCGCATTGGGCACAGAAGCCGGATGCACTGTGTCGGTGGCCTGTATCGAGGCGAAAATGGAACGGCAGTGGCAGATGGAGGAGCCACCACGTGTAGCGAACAATACGCGTGAGAATCCAGCGAAGCGGTTTGAAACGCAGTGCCTAGTTGTTTCACGGAGGAAGGCTAACCAACGACCGCCAGAAAGTGATGTGCCGGAAGCCATCAAGTTGATGAAAAGATGGAATGTCAGTCGTAGGATGCAGCGCCTGGGTAACGTGCTCAGGGAAGAGTACAGCGACGATGATCAGCGGTGTCTTGCACGCAGTCGTATTGATCGTGGCGTCCGGAATACCAGAGTCGATTGTGGTGTTCGTGCATTCGTTTGTTTAGGATTGTGATCCCCAGGAAGTCCTTTGGTGGGGAGTGATGTCACGCAACGAGCGGTGGACAAAGTGAAAGGACTTCTTGTATGTGATTTTGTTGTACAGTTTGTGACAGTCGAATTGTCTCAGTGTTACTAGTTTATCGTTAGCTTACTAGTTTGCTGTTTGAATCTGCGTTTGGTTTATTTATTGTTTATCTGACACGTCTTTTCTGTGTCTTTTGTTTGGTTGACGTCATGAGGTCCCATGGCTACGCGGACTGTACTCAGTCGCGGATCCTTCTGCAGAGCTGGCTACTTTTTCGGTTGCTTTTGGAATCCTTATTTGATGCATGTAAATATTAATTAGTGTATATTAGTGTAGTACGTAGTCGTTGGCGTCGTTTGCGCTGCTGTGGGTGCTTTGTAGGCGCACGTGTATGTGCACGTTCTGCTGAGGAGAGCGTTTTGGCTTTCGCTTGCGCTACTTGTTTCTTCGATATTTTCCTTTTCTGGTTAGTTGTTGTTCCTTCCGTGATGGACGGATAGCTTTCTTTCTCTCTTGTTTCACCTGTATCATATAGTTCCTGTATCCTGTAAATATCCCAAACTGAGTTGTGTGAGCTTGTTGTCGGTTGGATCAAATTATGGCGATCACGCCAGGATAGTCAGGGAGACGAGGAACTGGCAGGAACTCCGGTGCGAAGGAAAACGCATCGAGAACAAATCACCAAAACGACGTCGTCTGAGCTGAAGGCGCTGAGCGAGGAAACGTCTGCGAGGAGTGGCTGGCTCGTCGGAGCTGAATGCGCTGAGAGCAGATGAAATGGACGAACATCTGCGAGGAGTGGCTGGTCCGGCGGAGTTGAATGCGCTGAGGGCAGGGACGTCCCGCGAGGTGGCTGGTGAAGACGACGAGGTTGGTGCGACGGAAGTCGTTGGAGCTGAATGCGCTGAGGACAGACGAAGACGGATAAACGTCTGCGAGGAGTGGCTGGTTCCTACGACAAGGACGGTGCGAAGGAAAACGCATCGTGAACAAATAACCCCATGTGAGTGTGACGCGGAGTTTGGAAGGTGCTCCTGCTGTGATTTGTTGATTAGTTTGATTCGATTTGTTTGAGTGGTTTGGTTTGCTCGATTTGTTTGTTAGTTCGAGTTTGGTAGTTCGGTTTGCTCGA